AAACGTAATTTACATATCTACCCCTTAAAAGAAAGTCAAATTTCTCAACAGCGTCGTTTCTTCTTGTTCATCGCCAATCGCCATTAATCGCGGTGCCTCTTCTCACCTATCGCCGTCTCTTTGGACCGGAGGTTTCCTCCACCCTGTGACAATTCCGTCATCGATTAACATAGAGCTCCGAGATCTGATCTTCAATTTGATGCTCTTCCATTAGTCGGAAAAGTTGCTTTTGATTTCTCTGGTCGAAGCAACTATGGGGTCGTCTTCTGAGATCATCGATATCGCAACTAGTGCTCGGAGAATTGGCGTAGATAATCGTATTTCTCTCAAATTTTACTTCAGGATCGCTGATAATATCCTCAAACAGGTTTCTTCTTCATACTCAAGACTTTGAATTTTCGATTTTACGGTTACTGATTCGAGCTCTCTTTGATTTAGGGTTTATTTTTTGAACCTTAATCTTGTGATTGATGCTCGCAAACTTTTTATTTCTCTCTTTGATGAAATTATTGTTGGCTCAGAATAGTTGAATTTTGAAATTCGCCTTTTACGTTTTTGAGTATTTCCAATGCTTTTGCACCATTTTGTCACACTTAACGTCTGATTGTTGTTGAGGTGATATTGATTCTGTGTATTTGGCATATGTTCTTCGAGTTCTGCAGTTGTATAGTTGCTTCCTCGAGTTCGATTTGAGATAGTTTGCATAGGATATGATCATGGTGGTCACAGAAACTGGTTTTGATGAAAAAAGAAAGAGAGGAGAAATAATGGAATTAGTTTTCATTCTATGAAATGTAAAAAATCTTGTGGAAGTATGCGCTTTAGCCCCTTGACATTTGTGCTTGTATTGTCTCAGTGGAATTTTGGATATCAGATGTTCTATTTTGAGTATTTGTTCTTAGGTTCCTTAGTAGTTTAAGAACTGCATCTTGGCAGAAAAAATCTAAATTTTATTATGGATGTCTTTAACTTGATATTTAGTTGTTGGCTTGTTGTTTCTCTGTAAGTCATTGTTTTTTCTTTTGTCTAAGTTCCTAATCATCTGCATAAATGTTTTGTAGGCTGACATATTTCGGGCAGAGAAGAATGTTATTGATTTATATGTCATGCTTCTGCGTTTTTCAAGGTGAGGATTATTCATCAGAATGAAAAAGCTGAAACTTAATACTCCTTGTAGAGAGAATTGGATCCTAGTACCTTTTTTTTTTTTTTTTTCTGAAATCAGCTTTGTTTTTGGTTTTCTATAGCTTGGCTCTCGAGACTATACCGTCACATCGAGATTACAGAACATCTCTAAAAAGCAACAAAGAGTATTTGAGAATGGTAATGAATTTATGTCCTTATGATCTGTTTTGTCTGTCAATCAGTAGTTTGATGTGAGCTTTTTTATCTGTTCTAGAGACTATTGGATGTCTTGACGGAGCTGGAGAAGTTGAAACCAGTTGTACAGCAAAGGATTGATGAACTGTATCCCAAGCTCAAACCTCGATATAATGTTCAAGCTCATCCAGCAAATGGTTCCCTAGGCTGGTCGTCGGCCGTGAAACCATCATTAAATAGTTATGATCATGCAAAGGTGTGCCTAATGCTTTACTCTTGTTAGTCGCATATGCCTTGGTTACATATTTGAAATCAATTTGCATGGTTCTCCGCTCTTGTTTCATTAACTAGTAGATGAAATTATGATGTTAAATTTTAAGCTGCAGTAGATAAACATACTCTGCACCTTTCTACATTTTGTTTTTGTTCGGCATAGGTAAGAAATCCTCCTGGACATAATTTTGGCTACATGGGTTCCAGGGGTCAACAATTCTTGAACGCTGCGCCACTTGAAGAGCGTTTCCGAAAGATGTACGTCTTCAGTTTTATTTCTAGAAGCTTCTCTCAATGAAAGATCTTCGTTGTATCTTTCACTGTTTGTCTGGTCTCATGGTCCTTTCTTATAGATTTTGTTAACTGTGTGATTTATCTAGGTCGGTGAACTTCCGACCAAATGAAGAAACCCTTTCCAGGCATTCTATCTTGGGTCCAGGTGGACTAAGTGCACAGTGGCAGCCACCAAAGTATGATACAAAGGTATCATCACGTGCTTGCTTTTTTCATTTTATTCCACTTCCTCACACTAAGCTGATGTTTTTTTTTGTTATATGATCCAGGTTCAATATCCAAGCAATATAGATTTTTCGCCTGTTGTAATCCCAAGGTTAGATCATCTAGTTGATTTGATGCAAAATGTACAATTTTTTTCTGCATCTCATTATTGTTTACTTTATTTCTTACATATTCTACTCTCTCCCTCCAACTTCTTTTGCTTCACTATCTCACGCCTATGTATTATCCTTTCCTTCTGATGCTATCTATGGGAAACAGCTTCCAACAATTCGTGGACAGCAAACCAATGATAACGAATGGCAGTAACGATGAACCTGAAAGGCCAATTGTGGAACCAAGTGTTGCATCTAGTGAAAATATCCAGAAAAATTACACTGAAGAGCTTTCTTCCATGATTTCTTTCGAAGAGCCAGAAAGCGTTACTGATAATAATCTCATTAGGCAACCTTCACCACCTCCGGTGCTAGCAGAAGTTCAAGACTTGGTTCCTGCTTTATGTCCTGAAGTTAGAGAACCGGAATGTATTATAGAAAACTCTCTGCCAGATGAGTCTCTACGGTCGGAGTCTCCTCTTGAACTTCATATTGTAAGTTTGCTATATTTCTCTTATCTTTGTTATATTATGCTGATTTATCATGAAGGATTTATCGTGTTCTATAGCTTATCCTATGTAACACTACACTCGTGGGGATGTGTCTAATAAATACATATCATATATAGTCTATCTAACCATGGGATTTCAACACATATATGTTTAGTTATCCTTCTGGACTTTAACGTAGGACTAGGGGCTAAATCTATTGCTACATTGTCTTAAAATAAGATGAGACTGAGAATTAGTTTGCAAACAACCACTGTCTCTTTGTTCTGTTACCCAATTTTCCTCATAATTTGATATTTCACCTTTATTTGCAGGCAACAACAATGATGGATACCTTTATGAGGCTTGCCAAGTCAAACACTAAAAAGAATTTAGAGACGTGTGGTATTCTTGCTGGCTCACTAGTAAGTCGTTATATTTTCCAAATTCAAAAATGCAATATTGACATTTGGCTCATGAAAATGGATCAGCAATAATGATTTGTGAATCACTTTTGTGCAGAAAAATAGAAAATTTTACATTACAGCTCTCATCATACCAAAGCAGGAATCGACATCTGACTCGGTAAGCGCAGTCTTCTTTTGTTATATCAACTCAGTTTCTTCTTCATATACATTCACTTACTTCTTGCTCGCTCTTTCTCAGTGTCAGGCCACAAACGAAGAAGAGATATTTGAAGTACAGGACAAGCAATCCCTTTTCCCACTTGGATGGATTCATGTGAGTAAAATTTGATTTTATATCTCTAGCTTTAACTGCTTTAGGCTTGAAGATCTGTTCTTTGGTAATATCATTCTTCTCATATATTTCTAAACTGACTCGTTAATCACTGTCTCCATTTCAACAGACTCATCCGACACAGTCTTGTTTCATGTCATCCATTGATGTTCACACACACTATTCGTACCAGGTACGGACAATCGTTCTAATAACTTTCAAAAATTATTGCATATAGATCTATAATACATATAGAACGAAATCAACAATGGAATTACTGTTTTCAGATTATGTTACCAGAAGCCGTGGCAATCGTTATGGCGCCACAAGACTCTTCAAGGTATTAACCAGAAGTTTCAGAAATATGAAATTATTCGAGAAAGTAGAATGCCTAAGAAGAATTTTTTTTTAATGATTTAGGAATCACGGAATATTCCGGCTGACGACGCCGGGAGGAATGACAGTGATAAGGAATTGTGACCGGCGTGGGTTTCATGCGCACAGTTCACCGGAGGACGGAGGACCAATTTACAATACTTGTAAGGAAGTTTACATGAACCCTAATCTCAAGTTTGATGTCATTGATCTAAGATAGCATCACTTGCGCGTTTGAGAGTGAAACTATGTTCTCAAGGCCATCTTTCTCTACGATTGTAACAATTATGTATCTGTTTATATCTCGATTTTAATATGATTTATGTAAGTTTTCATGTACAATTATATGTTTACAAGTCTTACATGTAAAACTGAACTAAAATCAAGATACAAGAGCAAGTGATTTGTGATAAAGTTATCCTTATGTCACCATCTATTCAAACCTACATAACATTATTACCAACAACAACAAAAGTAAATATCACATCGAAATATTTTTAAAAAAAACTGGTGATTTTTCTTAGTGAAAAAATGGGGGACATGTCATGTCCTATTTCTAACACAAATTTTTGTTATGTTAATCATAAAATTATTAAATAACTTAAATAAGAATGGGTCAGGTTGGACTTGGCTTTTTAACTACCCTTTTAACAGATGTTTAGTGTTGGTCAATGGTCATACCTTATTTCATCTCTATTGTATATTAAATCAGCTTTAAAATTTTGAAATATGTGCACCAATCTCTGGTTTGTATGACATTGGTGTGTTACCCACATCTTACTTATCTCTGAATTGGATGTAACAAGTCTTTTATATGTCAACAAAATTTGATATTGAGACTTCGAATGGTTTGTTGCGGATGAGGCGGACAAAACCGTTTGTAAATTTACTGTTTTTCATTTACCGTTTGTAAATCCGCCGTTGACCAAGTACGGACCGGTTGTACACAGAAATGAACTTGGTCCGTAGGGGACTATTGTCCGCCCCAAAGATAGGATGATATATACTACGCTAATGGTTTAGTCCGCTCCGAAGATAAATATGACCACTTAAGTCTGATTGTGTCATCTCATCTGTCATCAAAGATTGTGTCCAATTCGAAATATTGAAGTAACCGAAAAAGTTAGGTAGTAACACCAAAAAAATGTGTACAAAGTTCGCGAAAAAACACACAGCGATTTGTAGACAAAATGAAAACAGAAAAACGAATTGATTGAAACTCTAATAATCTCTTGCTGCTGTGACCATCTACTATTAAAATGTGTACAAACACAACCCCAACAATTTGTAGACACAATCAAAAGAGAAGAAAAAATTGATTGAAACTCTGAACATCTTTTATCATCTACTTCTTGTTCTTCTTCTTTGTCTTCGTCTTATCTTTCGAATGGCGTAAGATCGATCCTAACCCAAATGTAGATGGACCATTGAGGACTGGAATGACCGAAAAGCTTCCTCCTCCTTCACCTTTCTTTCCTGCGTGCTTTTGCGGTCTGAACTGATACGCATTGCAACAGATAGAGGAAGAAGAGGACCGAGAAGAGGGCCTATGGTTGTTAACGTCTCTCAGCATTGCTCTCTTAGAATTAGTAACCGAACCTGTAGAGTTGCTTCTTGTCAGCCGAGGAAACGAACAGATGAGACTCTTCTTTATGTCGCAGTTTAGGCTTGAGCTTCTCTTGAAACTCCAAAACGACTTTGATGACTTCTCTGCTTCTGAGTCAGAGTTTGCTCCGCTTGCTCTCCCGTTGGTTTCCTTTTCGCTGTGTTTTGTGGGTAACGGTTGTGGCGAGAGAGGAGATGGAGAAAGGGAGGATGTAATGGGAGGCAGTTCGTACTTGTAGAGACGTTTTGGCACGGTCGAAGCTGCAGTTACATGGAAAGGAAGGATCATACCATCCGCAAAGATCTCATCCGCTGGTGAGGAGTCTCCAGGATCAAAGTTGTTTGAGATATGGAACTCGAAGTCCGAGTTTGATGAATCAAGAAGAGTTTCATCTCTTCGGATAAGGCCTGATGGTTCTATTACAGGTGGTGGTGCTTTATCCGATTGACCAAGATCACTCGAGAACGAAATCCGCTGAAGAGCCTCTGTGCAGATCATAGTTTGGAAAGATAAAAAAAAAGTCAAGTGAGTGAAAAATTATCTTCAAAACATTGCTTTTAGAAGAAGAATGGAAGTTGAAGTTTCGAATAAATGTCATAAGTTGGTGGGAAGAAGTTGAAGTTATTCGAATAAAATAATGGAAGGCGTAATCTGTCTGAAGATTGTGGTGAGCCACTCACTACTAGAGGAAGCAATATCATAATACTTAAAGAGGTATTTTTACAGGGCATAAATAAGTATGTTACCGTTACTATTGAGGGTCCTGATGGAGCTCTTTTAGTTTCACACCTATGAACCTGGATTTGTAAACAGACTTATTGAGGTGACTTGAGGATATCTTACATAGATTCTTGTCTGAAACCTGTGAAGTCATCAAACAACATATGATAGCACAAATATTGTTGTGTAATCAGATTTAGATTTTGTTTTAAACCACTGGCCAAAACAACACATATGTATGCATCACGAAACCGCGTCAAAACGCAAGGTCCTAAACTTCAGTGATAATCAAGTAGTATAGACTCTAGATATTCAATAAAGAAACCATCTTTAACCTCAGAGATGAGAGATGTTTTGTACAAAGAAACCTGTTCCAGCCCTCAACAGACATTGCCCTATGAAACAAGCAGCATGTTCTTGACATTGAGGAAGCGAGCCGCGAAACATACTCGAGATCAAGAAGTTTCTTATGTTAAAGATCTTTAGCCATCAACATACCAGCAATGTCAACAACAATAAGAGTAGAGACTATATGAACTAGATTCAAGAAACAAACAGCTAGAGATTACAATTAGACTGGTGATGAATTTGTTTACTAAACTAAACATCATGAATGAAACCTCGGTTATCTGCTTCACTGACCGGAACATCGCTAAACTTGAGAAACAATATTGAAGCAACTGCATTACTAAAAAAACAAACAGCTGGAGATTACAATTAGTAAATGAATGATGAGATTCCCAGTAATATGCTTTACACCAGAAAATTGCTAAACTTGAGAATGTCTCAAAGTAGAACAAGAACAAGAGAGATACATTTTATCCTAAAGTAAAAACCTTTATAGTTGTTTCCTAAGCTGCTTCAGGTCCATTATATGAATCAATAGTCACTTCTTCTTCATTCAACCACAATCCTGGAAAAATCGTCTGCAAAAAACAAAGCCAAAAAACAATTTAGTAATTAATCATTCAAATAATTTAGTAAACCAAAATTAATCAAAAATTACATTCAATTTCTTCTGAACAAGCCTTGGTCTCTTCTTAGGTCTCTTTGAAGGTTTTTTCCCAAAAGCAATGGAGAAATCTTGTTCAATTTCATCTCTCAACAACGAAATAGATAATTTCGATTTCTCATTCTTCTTATCTCCTCCATCTTCATTATCGATGATACTTCTCTTCTTAACGCCAATTTCAATCTCTCCAGGTTCACTACACGCAGCTCTTCTCATCCTCAGATTCCATGGCCTAGCCGCCGCAACTACCTCACCGTTCTTCGCTCCTCCTCCTCCAGCTATGGAGACGGATCTGTTGGTGGCTGCGTGATCGGGAGAGGAAGAAGAAGGAGGAGGAGATGGTAGATTGACGCATCTGAGGAATCTCTGTTGACCCCAACGGAGATGAGGTAAAGAGAAGTTGTGGAGGCGTTTCGATCTTTCAGGAGGTGGTGGCTCCATTGTTACAACAACAACTTCTTCTTCTTCTTCGATTTCGATTTTTGTTGAGAGCTTCGAGAGAGAGAGAGCAGTTCAAAGTTTTTTCGTATTTATTCTCTCAGAGTTATTTTATTTTTATTGTCGAAATATTTTTTTGTAACGTTGTGCGATTTATATAGAACACAAGTTAGTCACGTAGACGAGTTCTAAACCAAAAAAGGAAATAACACAAAAAAAAAATTGAAATTGAAATGTTTTTAACATTATAATTGGTCCTAATTTACGAGTCTTTTTTATTTTGAAATGTTATTTTATAAAAAGAAAAAATAGAAATTCTTTTGCTAAATACTACAAAAGAGTAGGATAATGATAGTGTATGCGACCACTATGTGTTGCATACTTGCAGTCCTTGTTTGAAAAATCGCTAGGCGCTAGTCGGGCGCTAGGTATGGGCCTAGCGATTAATCGGAAAATCGGATTAAAATCGTGGATTAATCGGGGATTAGTTTTAGAATTATTTTAATATTTTTAAAACATATTAATCAAATATTATTTTCAAAATTGCAGTAAACATATAAAACTGTATTTTTGAGATAAATTTTTATGATTTTTATTACAAATTTATGATTTTTATTAAAATTTGAACATAAGTTATTGTAAAACATCACAAACTCCCAATTTAAATGATTGAATAACAAAAATAAAAAGTTTTTTATACTTGCAATCTAAATATAATCGAGATATGTAAAATTAGGCGGGGAGTAATCGGATTAGGCGGGAAGTAATCGGATTAGGCGGAGAATAATCGGGTAACTGATTTTTTTAGGGGATTAGTCATTAATCGAGGCGGATAGGGTGGGCCTAGCGATTAAGCGGGGAGTAATCGGGCCTAGGCGGGGATTTTTAGAACAGGGCTTGCAGTTGCATCACATTGTTATATAACTTTTGAATTTTTTTTTTTTTTTTTTTTTTTTATATATAACTTTTGAATTGTCTGAATTATCTTGTAAAAACATTGTTATATAACATATAACCTTTCTCTAGATGAAAGGAAGTTACACCATCTAAATAAGTCGAAATATTACAAAAATGTAAATTTAGACTGCAAAATAAAATTTGTAATGTTGTGCAAATTACTGGTAGCCTTATATATATAGAACACAAGTTACGTTAGACGACTTCTAAAGCAAAAAGGAAATAACACCAATAACTAACTTAAAATCGGATTCGGATTCCAAAACCAACTTGTAAAAGGAAAACACCAAAAAAATTAACGTTATAGCTCAATCAAATTAAAATTGGTCCTAATTTATGAGTTTTTTAAAAAATATTTTTACGGAAAGTATTGTGCTGATGGATTTGTTTTAAAATGTCTGAATTACTAAAAACATTGTAATATAAACATAACATATTCATTCATTTAGAGAAGTGACACCATCAAAATAAGTTGACATGTTACTAAGACGGCGCCAACATAGAATTTCATAGTTTTAAATAATATTACTTTTCATAAAAAAAACGAGATTCCGTAATTTTAGTGCAAATATCTATTTAAACATTAAATAATAATAAATCTATAAAAACTATGACATGATTTATAATACAGTTGAAATGTTTTTGAATAAAAATAAATGACATGATTTTTCCTACAAAAAAAAATGACAGGATTTTAGTGTATTAATAGTTATGGTTCTTTTAGATTTTTTTTTTTTTTGTATTGGAAATTTGGAATTCCCATTATTATTTGACAAAAACGATTTTCATGAAATCATTAAGGCCCACTATTTTCTACTAACCATTAAAGCCCATTAAACCAATAAACCATTAAAGCCCATAAAGCCCTTTTCTCTTCCATCCCTTCCGTCTTCCCTTCTCCGCCGAGATCGCCAGTTTCACGACGCCGATCAGCTTGAAAAACCTCCCCAACATCGATTCATGGCTCCTTCCAAATCCCAACCACATCTTTAAGCCCTAGGCACTACTTACCAGGATCTCTGCAAAACCACCAGAATCAATGTCTTCGTCTTCCACTTCTATAATGGACAACTTATTCCAACGAAGTCTCGAAGATCTAATCAAAGGCTTTCGTCTCCAGCTTCTCGGAGAATCCAATTTCATTTCTAGAGCCTTAGAAGAAATCCGCCGCGAGATCAAATCCACCGATCTCTCCACTAAATCCACCGCTCTTCACAAGCTCTCTTACCTCGCCGCACTTCACGGCGTCGACATGTCTTGGGCGGCGTTTCACGCCGTCGAAGTCGTGTCCTCTTCACGATTCCAGCACAAGAGGATCGGTTACCAAGCAATTACTCAATCATTCAACGATCAGACCTCGGTTATGCTTCTGATCACTAACCAGGTGCGTAAGGATTTGAATAGTGCTAATGAATACGAGGTTAGTCTAGCTTTGGAATGTTTGTCTAGGATTGGAACTCATGACCTAGCTAGAGATTTGACTCCTGAAGTGTTTACTCTCTTAGGTAGTAGTAAATCTTTCGTTAAGAAGAAAGCAATTGGTGTGGTTTTGAGGGTTTTTGAGAAGTATCATGATGCGGTTAAGGTGTGTTTCAAACGTCTTGTTGAGAATCTTGAAAGCTCTGATCCGCAGATTTTGTCTGCTGTAGTTGGAGTGTTCTGTGAGCTGGCTACAAAGGATCCTCAATCTTGTCTTCCTTTAGCTCCTGAGTTCTATAAAGTATTGGTTGAGTCAAGGAACAATTGGGTTCTGATCAAGGTTCTTAAGATATTTGCTAAGTTGGCCTCCATTGAGCCGAGATTGGGTAAGAAGGTGGCTGAGCCGATCTGTGAACATATGAGCAGGACTGTGGCAAAGTCTCTAGTGTTTGAGTGTGTTAGAACTGTGGTGAGTAGCTTGAGCGATAACGAAGCAGCCGTGAAACTTGCTGTTGCTAAGATCCGGGAGTTTCTGGTGGAAGATGATCCAAATCTCAAGTATCTCGGTCTTAACGCCTTGTCCATTGTTGCTCCAAAGCATTTGTGGGCAGTTTTGGAGAACAAAGAGGTTGTCGTCAAGGCTATGAGCGATGAGGATCCGAATGTTAAACTCGAGGCATTGCATCTCTTAATGGCGATGGTGAATGAAGATAATGTATTGGAAATAACCAGGATTCTTATGAATTATGCACTCAAATCAGACCCTTTGTTCTGCAACGAGATTATATTTTCTGTCTTATCAGCATGCTCCAGGAATGCATATGAGATCATAGTTGATTTTGATTGGTATGTGTCTCTTCTTGGTGAGATGGCTAGAATTCCACATTGTCAAAGAGGGGAAGAGATAGAGCATCAGTTTATCGATATCGGTATGAGGGTCAGAGATGCTAGACCGCAGCTAGTTCGTGTTTCTTGGGCATTTCTCATTGATCCTGCACTACTCGGTAACTTGTTCTTGCACCCGATATTATCCGCAGCTGCGTGGGTTTCAGGGGAATATGTTGAATTCTCTAAGAATCCATATGAAACTGTGGAGGCGCTTCTGCAACCACGCACTGGTCTCTTGCCACCCTCCATAAGAGCTGTCTACATACATTCAGCTTTCAAAGTTCTTGTCTTCTGTCTCGGGTCTTACTTCTCGTCTCAGGATACCACTTCGTCATCCTTGGCTCAGGAGTCAAGTTCTGGTTCTTCGTCGATGAATGCTTTCACACATGGTTCTATATTGAATCTGGTGAATGTGATTGAGCGTGATTTGGGGCCGTTATCTGAAACACATGATGTGGAAGTGCAGGAGAGAGCTAAGAATGTTTTAGGATTTATCGGTATGATAAAGCAAGATATAGCTGAGAAATTAAACCTCCAAGACAATGAAACAGAATCTTTTGGAGTCGCAGCATTCATGGAAGATGTGTTCTCAGAAGAGATCGGTCCTGTTTCTGCAGCTGCACAAGAAAAGGTTTGTGTACCGGATGGGTTAGAGCTGGAAGAGAATCTCGGCGTTCTGGATGAGATCTGTGGGGAATTTCTTAAACCTGTGGAATCGGATTTGGTGTCATACACGGACATGATCAGCTTTTCTGTCTCCAAACTCAGAATCAGAGATCAACAAGAAGCCTCTTCATCTTCATCTCCTCCACATGAAGCTTCATCTCTGCTAGCTGAACACCGCAAACGCCATGGCATGTATTATCTTACTTCTCAAAAGGATGATCCAGATAGCAACGGCACGCACAGTGATTATCCTCTGGCAAATGAATTAGCAAACGAGATATCCCAGGATCCATTTAACCCCAAGAGAAAGCCGAACCAATCTAAACCGAGGCCTGTAGTGGTGAAACTAGATGATGGAGATGAATCAAGAATCACTCCTCAAGCAAAAACAAATATACAGACAGGTAATGACGATGAATCTTTGTCACGTGCGATCCAAAGCGCTCTTCTGGTAAAGAACAAGGGAAAAGAGAAAGACAGGTACGAGGAAAATCCGAATTCAAGACAACAGGAAAAAGAAGAGAGCTCGAGAATTGAAAATCACCAGAACTCAGAGAAGAAGAAGAAGAAAAAGAAGAAGAATGGAGAGAGAAGTAGTAAGCACAAATCACGACGGCGAAATGAAGTAGCTTCTGCTTCAGAACAAGTTATAATCCCAGATTTTCTCTTATGAGTGAGTGAAACACATTATAATCCCAGATTTTCTCTTGTGATTGAGTGAAAAACCAGTTTGTGTTTATTTAGAATCTGTTTATGTTCTCATACACAGAAACCAAAAAAAATGTGTGTTGTGTAATTCTTTTGTGTATAGCAATTTTAATGTATTGGTTTCTGTCATAATTTGTAAGAGAGATCCGAGGAAACATTTTTCTAAAGTATATTTCATATTTTATAAGATAGAAACATACATAACATTCAAGCATAATGATGATGATCATCATCACCGATTCTTATTCTAAACATTTCTGACGAGGACAAGACCCACTTTAACTAGTAATTAACCCACTTATAATTAGCGAAACTTGTCACTAACTAATCATGATTAACATTTCCTTAACACTTTGGGGAAGCTATCTTGCAACTGTTGGAGACTTTCCTGGCGTTAGGGGAGCTAACGTATTGGCGGAGGAGAGGATTCCTCATGTACCCACAAAGGCATGACTGCTGCTCTCTCAGCTTTGCGCAGCAGGCCTCCGATGGCGGCGAAGATGACGTCATCGCGGCCGCACATGAAGCCAGCTGCATCGGCGAGCACGTCACCCCTTCTGCCACCGGGATTTTGGCCACCGTCAAAAGGAGAATCGCCGCCGCGAGAGCTAAAACGGAAACCCACATCACCTTCACCATTTTTTTTCTTCGTTGATTCTCTGTTTGTGTTTGTGGTTGTTCTGTTTTCAGTATGTGTCTATAAGCTATCCCTTCTATTTATAGAAAGAAAGTGTGATAAAAGCTTTCCTTTTTTTTGCACAAAAAAAAGTTTTTTCAGTTCTTTTTTTTTATTAAAGAGTTAACTTTATTTAATTATTATCATTCCATTGAGAAATACAAGGGTGAGATAAGATTTTGATACATGAAGTTGGCAAGGATCGAACTTTCCAAAAACTATGCCGGTGAAAAATAAATATATTTCTGAAAACTAAACTCAAACAAAAGAAGCTAAATAAAGATAAGGGGGTCAAAAACCACAAAATAGAAAATACAAACAAAAGCTACGACTAAAAAAATAACTCTAAAGCTCAAGACTTACCAATCAAGTTCCATTGAATAATACTAACCTCACAAACCTAGTGATAAAAGCTTTCTATTTTTTTCTTTTATATAAATTTTTCTTTAATTATATCAATGTTTTGTGTTAAATAGAAAATTTGGTTTTAATGTTAACTATTTGTTAAGAAAAATAGAATCAATATTACTGTGCAGTTACTCAAACAATAAAAAAGAAATGTAGGGTACGTGTATATAGAATTCTTGTAATTCATGTCACATTAGGACATATTTATTGTTTCGTTCTTTGTTTACTTCAACCAATCTTGTTTCATTCAGCAAAACCTCAGTACTAATTGATTAGAGTGATCCATGCGAGGACAACAAACACCATTTGATTCGTTTCACACGAAATACATTTTCTAAGCTTTCGCCGAAGATAAAGCTTCTTATTTTCATTTACTACTAAAATCTCCGGACAAAATTTTTTATTTTTATGTAAAATTTAAGTATATTTAATATTTGTGATCATTTTTGTAATGCAGTAGTTTTTTTGATTGGTTGCATGGTTTTAAATAAAAATATTAAATAATATTTTTGTAATGGAAAATAAACATTTTTTAATATGTGTGATTTTAGCCAGAAAATCTTATAAAATGAAACAAGAGTACGCAGGAAAGTGTGCGTTTCAATGTATGTTGTTGGTAGTTTTCGGTTGTATTCTAAATTACTAAAACTCATATTGATTATTGTACATATACATATTTTATAAGATAATCAGCATTAGCTCTTAAAACCCACTTTCTATGTAAAAAGTCAAAATACTGGTTATTGTTGTAAGTTGTACCACTACACCAACTAAAGTAGTCTTTAGTGCAATCTCTTGTCCCTCACACTCACACAGACAACTAATACAATATTTGTAATTTTATACAACAATAGGTATATGGCACTAAGATTATTGTTTCATGCACTTTAATCATATACCTAAAAAATGTTAAGGATACACATTAATCATAAGAATATTTGATTGACACTCTTATGGAAACTGTGTAATTGCTATTAGTCTAGATCCTTCCTCTGTAATTCCTTTATAAGGATTGTACATTCTCTTGTGAATAATATTAAACATATCTCTTCTACAAAAAATGGGTCCAAACACATTTTGATCAGCTTCTAAGATCATTACGATTCACGCCTAGTGAATAGATGTACAAGTTATCAGTTGTTATTATTGATTGCCATTAAATTTCTCTGTACTCGTTTTCTTTTTTCAACTTTGTGATGTTTCAAATTATAATTGGACAGACCTTGGATTTAAGGACACACTTCATAATGTCATATAGGTATATACATCCATTAATTATTCCACACCTCATCATGGCACCTACAGACCTACTAATGATTACTTAAAATTTTGAATCAATTATGGATTTGCCATTTTTTGGGATGGCATTTGTGGATTTTGTCATTTTTTGTCCTTTTTTGAATAGTTTATGGATTTTATCTTTTTTCAGGCTACGGAAATATGATTTAACATGCGTTTTATTCGTTATGTTTGGGTTTAGTCGGTTGTGGTTGTTCTTAGGGTTTAGTATTTTGTATAAACTACGTATTTTTACCAAAAAAAATCCGAAATACGTACATTTTTAAGTGTTAGAAAATGGCATATCCGTAAAATTTTAGTAAAAATGGCAATTTCAAAAGATTTCTATGAAAAATGGCAAAATCAACACTAATCCCTAAAATTTTCTCTACAATGGTCAAAATAGTTCACTGTTCCCAATATATTTTCAATTTATTTGTAAATAGTTCCGAATTATCAGAAACCTTACCTAGGTAACCAAGCATATTTCCATTTTCATACAGATTGGCTTGTTTTAAGTAAGACATAAATTTATATAAGAGATAAATTAATGAATAAAAATCATACTACTAATATATGATGTTGTCTATTTTTTTGTTGTTGTTGTCAATATATAATGTTGTCAATATACATTAATGATGAATATAGTAAAGAAAAAATAATAATGATAATATGCATTTAAAAAATAGTGATATTGCAACAAAGAAAAATTGTTGTAATAAGCCAAATATTCAACACTTGTACAAGCTTCTCTCTTGGACTTCATGACACCTTAGCTACACTGATCTTTCACCTCCTCAAATTTGTCATTATATATCGGCATTATAATTTGACACCTTACCAAATCTGTCATTCGGACCTTGGACCGTTTTACAGCTTCCCTATGGATCTATTTTACAGTGTTAAAATGGACATCTTCGATCATTCTCCTCGAGAGGAGGAAGGCTTGGGGCTTCGTCGCTGGGGAAATCTTGAAATACCACATGTGACCTCAAGCTAATTTGGATGGAATTTTGCATGAAACATTATATTTTGATGGCGTTGGTAAACCGAAGAAGATAACTATCAAAGCAGAATTTTGGAAAATAAATCACCAAGTAGTATCCCTTGTTCTTTCCATAAGATTATGAAGCTCCATTGGCTTGAGATTGTATCACAACGTAGATTGGTATTAGACCTTCAACATCTTTGGACGCCTCATGGGCCCCTAATAGACTTCCTTGGCCCCTTTGGAACACAAGAGTTGGGACTGTCTATCAATTACATTGTTGCTCAAGCTATTGTTTGAGGTCGATGGTGTATTCCTCATCAACGTCCAAACAACCAACTATTCATGACATACTCACCTCACTTCTATCTCTCTTTCTCAACATGATGACAAGACTTTCAAGATCCGCCGATTACTAGAAAAAAACGCTAATATTTTCTCCAAGGTTTACCATCAAATCCGAGATCATTCTCTTTATTTCCCTTGGTTCAAGCAGGTATGGCATACACATTGAATACCCAAGCACACTTTTTGTTGTTGGCTACTTGTCTTAAACATAAATCCAACTAAAAACATGTTTCTCGGATGCGTTCTCTAAGTGGATCATCTTCGCAAGAGAACAAATGAATTTCGGGATCATCTTCTTGGAGTGTCAATTTTCAGGTATGGTATGGGTAGCAATCTCCATGTTGATATTTGTCTCTCATTCTCATTCTCAACTGATTACCCTTCTTCGGATTTATCCATTAGACTAGCTCTTATGATTGCGTGGCAAGAAACAATCTTCAAATTTTGGGGAGAGAGATATCGAAGGATATATTAGGGAAAATGTCTCACTTATTCTTTAATCTTCCAAATTGTGGATCTATATATGTGTGAGAAACAAGGCATCAAATCTTAGAAGACAAGGTTCATATTAGGATACATGGTGGACCGGTTAACACTGGTTAACATTGATTAACATGATCTTGGTTTAAATGTTGTAACAAACATTTGAGAGTTAATAAGAAAGTTTGTTATTTCTTCGTTCGATCTTCTCCTCTTCAACCTTGATTTATTTCCAATATTATTTGTTAACACTTTTTAGAACATTTTCTTAATTATTATTCCAAAAAAAAACATTATCTTAAGTATTTTCTTTTTAAAATTTTAATACGTTGTTATAAACAAAAGCAAATCCCACACCAAACGCACAACGTAACAAAAACACTGATTAAGATGCACAAAATAAACACCACACCAAACGAACATGGCGAGTATAAATCCCACAACTTTTGCAATAATAGTGTTTAAGGTTTTGTTCGAGAATAAAATATATATACTCCAAAAGGACCAAAACTAAAAAAATTAGGTTTTATAGTTTGGTTAGATACCAAATACGAAGTTTTTACAGCTGGTCTTTTATTTAATTACGCTTTTTTAATTTGGTAATCGACCTAATCAACTCTATTTTTATCTTACTGTTTTCTCCGTGATTATGTAGAACTATCTAAGAAAATTACATTTTCATGTGAATATTGTTATTTTATTTTTTTTACTGAAGTAATATTGATTTAAGATTCGAAAAGTTAACATAACACAAGAAAAAAAATAAGAGATTAAACCACAAAGAGACACAATGCTCGAATTATAACCTACATGATGAGGATGGAAGATTTCGGTAATACATTGCAAAAATCAAGCGAATCTTGTCTTGAGACTAATGAAACTCTCAAAGCTCACCACAAGGATTTCCCACAAAACAAATTCTGAAGACGGACATCAACATTTGTGGCAAAAACAAGAGAGTGAAATTTGACTTTCTCCGGATATAATGCATCTTTTTCTATGATTGATTATTGTAATTTCTTTGGGTAATTTTTCTGTTTTGTTGTTTTTTTTTCCTATTTTTATACAAATAACTGAAGGGGAAGAAGAAAAAGGCACAACAACATCACACCTTTATTCCTTACTGATGACAATAATTGGAAGAAAAAAAACAACTTTATTCCTCACCAAGTAATATTTACATCTTTATATAATCAATCACAACAACATCTTTATACTCTAAATTATCGAAATAATAGAGCTTAATCTCGATATTTTTCATTAACTCAGCATTATGAAGTCAACTCCAGCGTTTTGCGTCTGCGTTTAGATCAGAGAAAACGGCTTGAGAAAGTTTGGGAAATTTATAAAACTCAATAGAAATTTTATAATCACCGATTTCGTTTTGAGCAATTATGAGCTTTGCAATTCACATCATCAGAATCAATATCCGAAAACGACGAATAATCGGCTGCCAAAACCCTCCTGCTAAAGCTTCTACCGCAGCCGCTGCAACCGCTTAATCTGCGTTTAGCGTTTAGGATGGCTCTCCATCCAATTGTACAAGGCTGTTTGATGCAGCACCAAAGAACGCAAAGAGGACAATAAACACATAAACAACAAACGTTAAACGCCACCTCGGACGGAGCTGTTACTGCTGCGTTTGCGTTTGCGGTTTGGGATCTTGTGGAGGACAAAACAGAGATTTGTTTTCTTGCTCGATCTTCTTCTTCTTCCATTTGTCTCAGGAGAAGAGTTTTGTTGTCATTCATCGTGTTCTTGAAGAAAAAAGATTAAAGATGAATGATTTTTAAAGAAGACAATTTTATATTTTTATATTTATCGACAATTTTAATACTTTTTTCAAACTATATAAAATTGTAGATGGTTTTACGTGGAAATACTGCCGACTTAGCTGACATAATTAATAGGTATCTTATAAATCTGCATTTAAGACCTGTCGCTATTATCCCAATATTGATATACCTTTATGAATCTTTCAAAGCCACATGAATTAAAAAAATTGTATACATTAATTATAAACAAAAATTAGAATCTGCAAAACCGTGGCCACAAAGAAAACTTAGATCACTTTCAAAGAGAAAAAAAAATATATAAAAAAGAATAAAAAAAGGGAAAAAAAAAAACAAGAAAACAGAAGAAACTTAGAGCACTTTTACTGATAAAAGTGAAAAACAAAGTGTACTAAGAATTTCTGTCTTTTGATTTAGAGAAATTTCTCTATTTTCCGTAATTTTTATATCAACTTGGTAAACTAGAAATGGAATATATGCTTATGCAAGACCTCTACGAGAGACAAGAATTTTATAACAATTTTGGTAATTCAAATGGAATTTTCAACACTTTTTAGCCAATGGAACTATGGGACAAATAATAATAATTTTTGTTGTTGTTATTACTTATTAGAATAATAGAAGTCAATTCGAATAATTTATTTAGGCAAAATCTATACTATTTTGGAATTTTAATCTGCTATATGTGAATGCTACAATGACCCGAGTGTCATATTTTGTCAAAGCTAAGATATATGATAATATTAATACCATAATCTTTATTAACTAATCCTCTCAAGAACCCAAGAGGCGACAACGCAAGAGTCATCAGCATCATGGGTCCTAGACTCATTACCGAACCATTGGGTCGCTAAAAAGACATGCCCAATGAACAAAGACGCAACACTGATCAATCCATTCGTGGACAGAGATCGAGGTACAAACCAAAAATAAGGTTGTACTTTACAGTTTATAATATTTGATATAATCTTGGGACCTAAATCTTGGCTTGTAGTTTATATGCACAAATGTTTAATCACCTCACAATTCCTTTGTGTCCCTATATGTGGCCATTAATTTCTGATCATGTTATCAATGTTGGAGATAGACATGAGATACGAGTTTATAAAATACAGTATGTGGTATGCTGAAAATCGAAGTAATAAATCATAATAACTATTTAATGGGAATCGTGTTACAATTAACGGAAATACGGCGATTAAATGTAGAATTTTAACAAGGTATACTCACATTTTGTTATTGAAATTTTAAATGGTTGTCGTGACTAACCCTTTCCCTGATCTTCTAAAAAGGACACCAACTATTTCTTTGTCGTCTACAACTTCGCGACCAATACACAGTTTATTTTACGATTATGATTTATGACAATAACCACATGGTGGTGGGCGAGTGGTTCTCGTTTGGTTGGAAGGATCGCCCTGTTGGTCTAGGTCAGGGATCGATCCTCCCCAGACGCAGTTTCGCTCTCTCACTCATGTGGCCACCTGGGAATTTACCTGCGGACTTGCTCAGGCGCCCCAGACCACCAGTTTATCAGGGGGCCCTTAAGTGGAGGCTTAAAAATCCCTGTGACGCGGGCTTAGGCCCAGTGGGCTAGTCAGATCACTGTGTGGTCTGGATACTGGGTTATCAAAAAAAAAAAAATGATTTATGACAATCCAATCTTTTGACGAATTCTTCTAGTTGTTATATAAAGCTTTTTTATTGCATCTTGATATTGCATGATTTGAAAATTTTAGCTAGCTAATTAGATTTGAGTCTTTTTGCATGTGTTTTACGGAGGATTGATTAAAATGGTTCATGACGCACACGGCAAGAACTGGTCAAACATTATGACCATGGTGTTACCCATCAAAAACTGTTGTCAATTTACTGGAATCATAACAATTCCAGCTGGCTAGTCGGAAAGAGAGAGTTTTGTAGGATACATATATTCCTTCATTAGCCCAATCAAGGAGTCTAGTTTAGTTGTAATCCCAAACAAAAGCCCAAGATAATTAAACCAAAGAGTGAAGACAATTCTACAACTAAGGAAAAAAACCAAGTTTTCTAACATTGTGAAGACAAATGAGTTCATTAACTAAACTATATATATAGATAAGGGTCAGAGATTATTGTAGAGCTAAAGAGAAGAAAAATTTTCTAGAATCAAGGCAAATGACAATGATTAAATTGTATTGTCGAATTTGTCCAAACAAAAAAAGAGTATTCTAGAAATATATATAGCATATAACATCTTCCTTTTCAAATGATAAATGAATAGAGAGATAATAATTTTGAATGATTCGAAGCCTGCCACACATTTGTACAACCACACAATTCAATCATTTACTCAATACATACTCGAAACGTGTCTCAAAGACAAATATAAATAGTATAAATCATGAAAATATGTAAGGAATATCACAACATATGCATAAAGTTCTCTCTCTTTTTGTCTTTCCCATGTGCATCAAATTGTGTACTCTGATTTCATTTCAAAAATCAGATATAATGATGCGTTCATCACATGATACATGAGATTGATATCCCAAAATTAAGCTGAAGAAGTCGCTTTTGACTTGTTCCGCATCTATGGTATTGATTGCCCTTGTATACGTACGAAGCCATTTCTACATTACGTACTTATCAATCACGTGTTATATGTAGGGTTTCGTTTTTGAGATTCATATTCAATTCATTTTTTTTTTCCTGCAATCAAAACCCATAAAATTCAATTTAATTATAGATATATATGTAGAAAGCTTTGGTTCTATGTATTTTCATTATTTCATGGTAGGAAGCCACCACCTAAATGTTGTCGTCATGCTCTTAGAGTGCAGTTAACTACTACTAGTCCTACTATTTTATGTACCCACGAACTATATCTTATTCTTAGGTCAGTGATTCATCAAAACCACACACATATATATCTATATATATACACAAACACTATATATGAGTTAGTTTTGTGGTATCTGTTTATTTAACTGAGGCTAGAGATCACTTCTTGTTAAACGTATACATTTTAACAATTACTCTTTGGATTAATAAAAAATTCTAAGTCTGATCTAAATTTATTTTATAGATTAGTATATAGGTTTCGGTATGAGATTTCCAAATCTAAAAAAGAAAAGATTTCCAAATCTAAGTGAACTCAAAAAGTGTTGTGCAATGTATTCACAAATATTACATGGTACGTAATAAAAGACTGATTATATCAAACAATGCGAAGAAAAACTTCTTACCTCCTAATTAATGACTTAATGCGATAAGAAATATTGAACAAGATTGTAAATATTCATCGTAAAAACTTTTCAGTATTATATACGGTTCATATAAACTTTTGTTAGGGTTTGTTGGGTAAGTGACATTATTAATATGGTACATGATGTACATTGGTACCTCTCGATGTGTGTTGTGTGTTTGTGTGTGGAGGAAGGTACATGAAGAAACAGTCAATGACTTCAAAGGAATGAAATCGATAATTTCATATATTTCATTCCTTTGAAGTAGAATCGTGGTCTTAAATCTTTCCTATATATACACACCATTCTCCATTACACCTTTTACTCTTCACTATGCTCTCTCTATTTATAGTCTCTATCCTCACATACTATATATATCAAACCACAAGATTGTTGTATGTATAGTGGAGGGTGATAGTGTGGTTGCTGACAGAAGATAGAGAGCACTAAGGATGACATGCAAAACACACACATATATGTGTTTCTAATTGTATTAACATCAACGTTGATGTGAATCATGATATAAAAAAAAAGAGAGAGAAGAGCTAGAAGACCATCTGCATCTCTATTCCTATGTGCTCTCTATGCTTCTGTCATCACCTTTCTTTCTCTATTTCTCTCTACACATTACATATTCACATATATTTATGTATCTTACTTATACACCATGATATGTCTATATATATGTATGGTTATATTGCATTCTCATATATACTTTCATGCTAATTAAATTATAAAATTTTTATATTTTCTTGTGTTGTGTGTGAGAAAAGTGACTTCTTTCTTCCAATAATCAAGTTTCTGTTTCTTGGGTTTGCATAGGTTCATGTTATATATGGACATTAGCATATGACACAATTATACGCATCCCTAGACATTTGAAACATATACTAATTTAGTGGTTTCGTAAATACTACAACACATAATTAAGTACTCTTTAAGAAATATCATATATAATGTACATATAGTCATATAATTATACTATTCTCCATATCAATCAAGTAGAGAGTTTTTTTTTTTTTTGACACAACTCAATGGATTGTTGATAAATTATAGATTTCATTCATGGATCTCTTTATGATAAAGTGGATAAAAAAAAACACACCAAGAAAATGACGAATATTTCAATTAAGTCAATTTTGTTGCATTTTCTTAGCAAACAAATTTTTATAATTTTTATATTCACTTTACTGAATTTTTTAAGCGCAAACCAGCCACAAAAATAATTCTCCATCAATTTAGTTGAGTTTTATGATCTTGGTCGCTAATAACCGGGAAATATGAAAATGAATCTCAACCGGAAAGTACCGATTTATTGTAAGTAACCGGTTCAAATCATTTTTGGGCCGTAATAATGGGCCGAGAATCCATAGCCCCATATCGCGTGTTCGAAACGCGCCGATGACACAAAAAGGCAATAAATTCTCGGAGGGAAATTGGTGAAAAAGCCCTAAACTTCAACGGAAACCCCAAAATCCCCAAATCGAGAGAGGTTAAAGAAACTTCAATTTCTCTTTTCTTGAAGTGATCGGCAAGTGATGGCGGTGGACGGTGACGGAACTGTTGGAGGTGGAGATTCTCAACCACCGGTGACGGTGACTACTGCGGCGGCGACGACAGAGATGGCTATCGCGAGGCTGAGTCGGTTTCCTAACATGGAGCACATTTCTGATAACTACGACGATCTGAAACTGGAATTTAGCTCTTCCGTGTTAAGATCGCTAGAGAAGTACTTGCCGCCGGAAATGCTCACGGCGAACAGAGAAGCGAAGGCCAAATTCATGTCTGACATTTTGCGCAAGTACATTTCCCGCGAAGAATGTTCCAAAGTAATGGCTCTGGTTTCTTTCTTTGTGATTCCAGTTTTGCTAAATCGAATTCGGATTTGATTCTTGTTAGTTTCTTTCTGTCATCAAATTGATGCGAATCAGAGAATGATCTTGTGAACACATATAATCTGTGATATTGGAATTGCTTCTGAAGTTCTTGCGATAGTGATTCTTGTTAGTTTCTTTAGAAATAGCAGAAGTTTACCAAACTCTGATACGAATCAGAGTGATCTTTAGCTTTTTCTTGTGAACACATAGAATCTGGTTACGTTCTCAGAATAGTTCCATGTCGATATAATGTTACAGGCTAATTGGCGCAAGACCTATTGGCAGAGGATAAAATCCAATTATCAGGTGAGATGCCTTTGCTCGTATTTTGTTTTGTTTTCTGAAATTTCTTCATGCCAATTTTTGTAATGTTTCCTTTTCTGCAGCCACTTTGCAGGGACTTGTATAATTTTGATCCCGAATTGTTTCTGCTTCCCTCTTTCCGTAAGGCGATCAGCGACAACACAGAGGAAAGCTTCAGACGCATCATTTCTGAACCGTTTCCTGGTGTTTTTGTCTTTAAATTGTTTCAGCCTGACTTCTTTCAGAAATTGATAGTAGAGGTAATAACCCATCATCTTGCCACTTATCCTATTACCTCTTTGTTTTATTCATTTGCTGCTGTTTGATTTATCAGGTAGAAAATATCAAAAAGTGGGCTCATGAGAAAAAGTTCCAAATCAGGAGACCGTACCACTCGAGTAAATACGGTGTTGTGCTTGATGACTTTGGCCTGGATATCATGCTTAAGCAACTCATGGAGGAGTTTCTCTTTCCTATTTGCAAAGGCAAGGAAATATTTTACTTAAACGCATTAGAAAGACTTTATTTGGTTAAACCCTATTAAATAACACTAAACTTCACTCTGTTGTCTTGCAGTATTCTTCCCTGAAGTGTGTGGAACAATGTTTGACTCTCACCATGGATTTATTGTTGAAAATGGTGCAGATAGGGATGCTCCATTAGGTGAGTCCCTTTGATTTTCTGCTATTACTTTGCAGCAACGATTCTGTAAAAATTCTCATAGTTCCGTACAATCTTTCCTGGAGTGCAATAATATTCTGTGATACTTAAGCTGCTTAGACCAAAACAGAGTGAATTCTTTAATAGCAAACAGAAATCTTTTTATCAAAGTCCTGGTGATTGAATGGTCTTTTTTTGAAGTGTGTCTATGTTTGTTCAGTGGATTATCTGAGGTACATTTGCAGTGTGTCTATGTTACTCTTAGTTGGAAAAAATATGAATGTCTCCATTTTTAGGAAGAGAGGAAACAGAATAGTTACATGATGGATGATATATTAATGGATGTTTCTTTTTATTATTCTGTGTTCCACTCAGTTGACTAGTGCATTAATTATCTTTTAAATCTGCAGACCATCATTTTGATGATTCAGAAATAACATTGAATGTTTGTGTGAGGAGACAATATGAGGGAGGGGAAATATCTTTCATTGGCACACGATGCGTGAAACATATGCGAACAAATATAAAGCCAGAGGTATGTGAGTCCTTTTGATGAGCTTTTTTGTCCTATTACATGCCAATATTTCGTATATGGCAAAATGGTTAAGTAATGAAGGAAACAACTATTTCCCTCTGAAGCAGGAAGTTTTTCATTACTGTCATACACTGGGTCAAGCTATACTTCACCGTGGCCGCCACCGCCATGGTCCCAGAACCACCACAAATTCTTGTTCTCGGGGCAATATGATTCTCTGTTGCAGAAAGTAAGCAATTTTGAAGCTTGCCTCAGGATTTCAGATCACAATTGAATCACATTTTACTGTTCTTTTCCATTGCAGCTCTTTGTTTAGAGAGATGGAAACTTATGAGAAGGAATTCCCAGAGTGGTGCGGTCAATGCGCCCATGAAAAGAAAGAAAAGGAAAGCCAGAGTCTTGCTGCCAAAAGAAAGGTTCAAAAAAAGAAAACATAGTTTATAAGATGTTTGGTTTGAGCATAGTTATGAACCTGTGGGGGTCCTTATTGCAGGGGATGATTAGAATTGAGGGTGGAGGCAAAGCACGATGAAACATAACACATAGCGTACACAATTGGTCAAGCCCTGAAGTTTTTGCTTTACTCTTTTTCGACTCTTTACTTGAGAAACTGAGTATATGTAGAATCATTTGATGTAAATACGTCTTTGTATATTGAATCTTCTTGTCTCTCACACTTACTTGTACAAGGAACCATATAATGTAGATCTGATTGCTAATTTTTTTTTTCTCGATTTGTTGGTTTAAAGATATTTTTCTTGTTAAAACTAGGAAATATTGATATAGGTATTTTTTTAGTTATATGCTATAGGTTATACATATGTATGTAGTATGTACTGTGTAGTGTGTAGATTGTAGGATACTACGGCATTGAAATGGCGACGCAAAATAATAGAGAGTAAAGACGGAGCGACATGATTAACATAGAAACGCACATATAGAAGAGGTATCATGTAACCAAGCTCAAAAGAAGAAAACAAATTGACTCTCTAGGCGTTTTAGGTTTTTTTTTTTTTTTTTTTTTGTCATCCGAAATTAATTAGAACTCAAAAGAGACATTCCTGTGGAATGTTGTTTACAAATGTGATATGAAGCGGTTCTGTACGAATTTTTCGTGCCAGATGATCCGCTTTTACATTAGCATTGCGAGAAATTGAAGATAAAGAGAATGATGAGAATTCTTCCTTGTCGCTCTGAAATTCCTCCAAGTACACTGAAAACGCCGGCCATTCGGTTGGAGAAGACACCATCTTAACCAGATCAGAACAGTCTGTAAGGAACTCTACCTCTTGATTATCAGCACCTATCATACACTTCATCGCCCAGAGAAGGGCCTCGAACTCGGTATGTAATGGAGATAAACTTCGACGGAGATTTGCAGCTCCCATGGTTGGCGGCTCTCCGTTTGATGATGTACAGAACCATCCTGTACCGGAGAACTTATCACTTTCTTTCCACGATCCATCCACAAAGCAACGATATCCTGAATAATTCGAGTCAAGTGAAGTATTCCCCACTCGAGGCCGATTTACCAATTCCACAGTACCATGCGTTTCATGATGAAGCTCAATTTGGGCAGACTGCCACAATTGTGCTTCTTTTTCCGCTAACCGTAATACCTCCAATGGATCTTTATCAATATTTTCAAATATTTTTTCATTCCTTGCTTTCCATATATACCAGATAATCCATGGAAAGACTGAAGAGTCAAAGTCCGTAGGTATTCTCCAAAATAAATGGTCCAAATTCGCAAAGATAGACTCCGTTGGAAAAATTCCCATTGCTGTAGGAATCTGAGAGAGTGCCCAAACCTGTCGTGCCGGGTGGCACTGAAAGAGTGTATGATTGATTGTTTCCACTGGTTCGCCACATCTGGCACAACCTGTATCACAATCGATTCCTCTTCTCCGTAAATTTTCCGTAACTGGTACACAACCCGTTAAAATTTGCCATAAGAAATGACGTATCTTAGGTGGACAATGCACTTTCCAAGAATGTGCTTTTAACGGTTTGATGTCTGGACCAATCAATGAGAAATTTGTCTCCAAATTTCCTAACCGTGCGGTATGATATCCCGACTTGACTGTATATTTTCCGGATTTTGTAAAATGCCAACCCAGTGTATCCTCCTTAGTTGGCGCACCCACCGGTAGGGCACTTATGATGGCGATATCTTCTGGATCAAAGATCTCCTCTAGGAGAGCAATATTCCAAAAATTCGACCGACTATCTATAAGATTGTTTACTTTTAACAATGGGTCAACAAGTGAACCATTACTCTTTGCTGGTCTCGGGAATTGAGCTGGAATCCAGGGATCCTCCCAAACTGAGATGGATGTCCCCGATCCGACCCTTTTAATAAGTCCTTTATTAACCAGAGATCTAGCTGAACAGATACTACGCCATCCATATGATGGGGAGTACGATTTAATATTTTCCAAGGGATTGGATTTCCGAAAATACCGCCCTTTAAACACCTTCGCAAAAAGGGAATCTGGAACCGTAATCAACCGCCATAATTGTTTAGCTAATAGGGCTGAATTAAAATCGTCTACATTCCGAAAGCCTAACCCTCCTTCCGATTTACTATTGCACAACTTGTTCCAAGCCATCCAATGCATACCTCTGGAATCTCCATTTGAACCCCACCAAAATTTAGCAACCGCACTAGTAAGTTTAGAAGTAATTGTTTTCGGAAGTCTGAAGCACGACATAACATAAGTTGGTAGTGCTGCAGCTACCGATTTAATCATCACTTCTTTTCCACCTTTCGATAAAAATTTTGCCGACCATCCGTTAATTCTTGTTTGCAATCTATCTCTGACAAAAGAGAAAATTTTTGTTTTAGATCCACCCAAACTCTCTGGTAGACCAAGATAAGAACCCATCCCACCGATATTAGTGATTCCCAAGGTAGATTTGATTTCCTCCTTGATATCCTCATCTACCTTATGTCCAAACTGAATCGAAGATTTTAAAAAATTAATCTGCTGTCCGGAGACCGCTTCATATTTCTTTAAAATCCCCAATATTACCTCACATTGGTCCTTATTTGCCTTACAAAAGAATAAGCTATCATCCGCAAATAACAGATGTGAAACCGAAGGGCTTGCATTTGCTATCTTAATACCCGTAATTAGTTTTTCCCTTTCTGCTTTCCGAATATTCGCAATTAGTACCTCTGTACAAAGGATGAATAAATAAGGAGAAAGCGGGTCCCCTTGTCGTAATCCCCTTTCTGGTACAATTAGTCCTCTAGGTTGCCCATTAAGGAGCACTCTATATTGAACTGTTGTAATACACCACATTATCCAGGTAATCCATTTCTCACAGAAACCTAATTTTCTTAGAACCTTCTCAACAAAAATCCATTCCACTCTGTCATAAGCTTTACTCATATCAGTTTTAATGGCCATGAATTTTCCTTTACATGTCGGGTTAGTCCTCAACCCATGAAACATCTCTTGTGCAATAAGTATATTATCCGAAATCAATCGTCCTTCGACAAAAGCCGATTGTGTTTCCGAAATCAGTTTTGGTAAAACCGTTTTAAGTCTTTGACAAAGAATCTTCGATATAATTTTATAGCCCACATTACATAGACTAATAGGCCGTAATTCCGTCATCCGTGTCGGTCTTTCCGTTTTTGGGATCAGACAAATGTTTGTCGTATTTAACCGTTTATCAAAAATTCCATCCTCTAAAAAAGAATTAACCAGAACAAGAAGATCTGATTTAATTGTAATCCAAGCCTTTTGGAAAAATAAGGCTGTCATGCCATCGGGCCCTGGCGATTTTTCCGGATGCATCATAAACAGAGCTGTTCTCACCTCACTCTCCGTAGCAGGTGCCGTTAGAAAATTATTAACCTGATCCGTAATCAGACTTTGAATTTCAGCCAGAGACTCCTCAAAAGCCTCGGGCTTGGTTGTAGTAAACAAATCCTTAAAATAAGAGACCGCTATATTTTGAATATCTTTATCTTCCGCAGACCAAATCCCGTTTGCATCATGCAACCCAGTAATCCGATTCCTTGCCCGTCTCTGTTTGGTTAGAGCATGAAAGTACTTTGAGTTATCATCTCCTAGTTTCATCCAAGAGCACCTACTTTTTTGATACCAGTACAGTTCCTCATCGCGATAAGCTTCTTTCAACCGTAATGTTAATTCCGTAATCTCCTCCCTTGATCTTTTGTCATCCCTCTGTGCCACATATAATTCCGATTTAAGTTCCTCAATTGTTTGCCGCCCGTAAGGAGTTAGTTCTCTCCTCCATTGTGAAATTGCCCGCCTACAGTTATTCAACTTTTCCACGAATTTTCCTGCTCCTGATTCAGATTCCGAATTCCAACCATTTGAAATTGCCTCCATTAAACCATCCTTTCCAATCCATCTCTTATCAAACCTAAAGGTTCGTTTTCCACGTGGTATCTTATCCAATAGCGTAGCTACCACCGGTGAATGGTCGGAAGCAACCATTGGTAAATATTCAACGAAAGAGTTGCAGAATAATTCATGCCAATCTTCATTCGCTAAAGCTCTATCCAAACGACACCGTATAGGTTTTTTATCCCGCCAACCCCGCCAGGACAACCAGTCTCCGATGTATGGAAATTCCAAAAGACCGCAATTTTGAATCATAAAATTAAAAGGGATAAACGAAGATGCATGTCTTAGAGTACCACCTCTTTTCTCATGATTTCCGGTTAACTCGTTAAAATCACCAATTAAAAACCAAGGTGTATCCCTAGTCAAACCAATCCGCGTTAACCGTTCCCAAACTTGATCTCTATTTTTTGGAACCGGGTCACCATAAACAAAAGTAAGATGAATTGTTTTCCCTTTTACCACAGCTTTCACATCAATTAACCGATTACTTTCACAGGTTTTAATTTATTTATTAAACTAAACTTTAGTATTAAATTAAAGATATAACTAGTTTGTCTCTAAAAGCCTATATTGTTTTTTTTTTAAAAAAAGCCCTGCAGAATAAATTTATAGATTTTATTATAGAACTAAGCCTTTAAAAATTTTAGCTTAAAAAGTTCTCAAATTTTGAGGTCCGAATCGCTGGTTTCAGTGGTTTGGCCTCTGGGCCGGGCCTGAATGAAAACAATGTTTGATATTGCTCTGACAAAGGCATATTGATTTTCGGAGACTAAGAATGGAAGAAGTAGTTAGAGACGACAAGTTAGAATCTTTGAAATATTTTTGTAGAATTGTATATGCAAAAGTTCTTGGAATGGGTTGGATATTAGGGATAAGTCGTATATGTGTTTCATTTATGGTTCTTGGAAGTACTCATACCTTGAAGAAGTTCTGGATTTCCTCAGTGATGGAAGAACCCACCGTGAGCCAATTGGAATAGAAGAAACTGGCCGAGAATCCATCCGGTCCAGGAGTTTTGTCCGGATAGATACCAAATACAGTAGAACCTCTATAAATTAATACTCGATAAATTAATAAACACGATAAATTAATAAATTTGGTCAGTCCCGAGTCGGGCCAATGTAAAAATTAACCAAATTCGATAAGATAATAAGATAATAATTTTTTAGAAATCCCTATGTAAAAATATAGTCCCAATAATATCATAAATTAATAATCATGTAAATTGGCACATATATATATATATATATATATATATATATATATATATAGTTTTAATGTTTTTCATAAAAATAACCAAAAGTTTTTGTAAGTTTTCAAATTTTGAATATGCATAATTTTTGTTTTAATAGTTGTATAGGTTTTTAAAATACAAAAATGGATGTTATTATTTGTGAATTTTAATTTATGTATATCGTTTGTATACGTGAATTCTATAATCGTTGTTATTCATTGTCAAAATAAATTATTTTCTCTTCGAATATTAAGTGTTTAAGGCTAAAACTATAAAATTTATAACATCCAAAACATTAATTTTATTTAGATCACATTGCTCTACCTCGTATTTTTTTAAAAAGTTTTCACAATTGAAACAAAACTTTCTATAAATTAATAAATATTAATTTACGCTACAAATTAATATAAATTAATATCACTATAAATTAATAAAATATCATGGTCCCAACATTATTAATTTATAGAGGTTTTACTGTAAGACTCCAAATGCAATCTACTACTCTCTTTTTGGCTGTTTTTGTACTTCTCTCTGCTCCACAACACAATAACTTTCCTGCATGCCGAAATTCTCAATTTTACAAGCAGCCTGAGAACCTTGAACCAGCATTGCTCCACTAGGGCTTTGATCTCCAGATCGTTCTTTAATTTCCTATTATACCGGAATAAGCCCCTCCGTTTTTCCTTTCCTTGTCAAAGAAAGTAATGACCGGTCTATGGTCGGAACCCTCAAATCTTAAGTATTATATTTTTTGGAAGGAAAAATCTGAGACCAGCTAGAATTTGCCAAGGCACGATTCAATCTGCATCTGACTACGTGAGAATATTTAACTCTCTTCCAAAAAAACAGGTCACCCGAATATTTAATGTCAAATAATCGCATTTTGAAAAGAATGAGGGTAAAAAAAAAACAAAAGACTCATCAACTCTTTCGAACCTTCTATTTTATCAGAATTTGATAAAGTGGACAAAACACACCAAAATTTTTTTTACGAATATTTCAATTTAGTCAAGTTTTTTGCATTTTCTTAGCAACCAAATTTTTATAATATTATATTCACTTTACTGAAAATTCACTAAGCTCTTTACTTTCATGATCTTGGTCGCTAAGTAACCGGGAAATATGAAAAGTCAACCGGAATGTACCGATAGTTCTAAGTAACCGGGAAATATGAAAAGTCAACCGGAAAGTACCGAGAATCCATATATCGCGTGTTCAAAACGCGCAGGTAACACAAAAAGGCAATAAATTCTCGGAGGGAAATTGGAGAAAAGCCCTAAACTTCAACGGGAACCCCAAAACCCCCAAATCGAGAGAGGGTTTAAAGAAACTTCGATTTCGATCAATTCAAAGTCTCTTTTCTTGAAGTGATCGGCAAGAGATGGCGGTGGAGGATGAAGGAGCTTCTCAACCACCGGTGACTACTACTGCGGCGGCGACGACAACAGAGAGGGCTATCGCGAGGCTGAGTCGGTTTCCTAACATGGAGCACATTTGTGATAACTACGGAGATCTGAAACTGGAATTTAGCTCGTCCGTGTTAAGCTCGCTAGAGAAGTACTTGCCGCCGGAAATGCTCACGGCGAACAGAGAAGCGAAGGCCAAATTCATGTCTGACATTTTGCGCAAGTACATTTCCCGCAGCGAATGTTTCATTGTAATGGCTCTTTCAACTTCTGATTTCTTTCTTTTTGATCCCCAATTTTGTCATTTCGAATTTGGATTTGATTCTTGTTAGTTTCTTTCTCTCATCAAATTGATACGAGTCAGAGAATGATCTTGTGAACACATAGAATCTGGTTAGATTATAAACAAATCATATGTGTGAAATGATAGTGATTCTTGTTAGTTTCTTTAAAATTGCAGAAGTTCACCAAACTCTGATACGAATCAGAGAATGATCTTTAGCTTTTTCTCAGAATATTTTCATGTGTATATAATGTTCCAGGCTAAATGGCGCAATTACTATTGGCAGAGGATAAATTCCGAATATAAGGTGAGATGCCTTTGCTGAAGAACTTTTGTTGTGTTTTCTTAAATTCTTCATGGCAAAGTTTGAAATGTTTCCTTTTCTGCAGCCACTCTACAGGGGATGGTGTAATTTTGATCCCGAATTGTTTCTGCTTCCGGCTTTCCGGAACGCGATCAGCGAAAACACTGAGGAAAGCTTCAGACGCATCATTTCTGAACCGTTTCCTGGTGTTCTTGTCTTTCAAATGTTTCAGCCTGACTTCTTTGAGAAATTGATACTAGAGGTAATAACCCATCATCTTGCTACTTATCCTCTTACCTCTTTGTTTTATTCATTTGCTGCTGTTTCATTCATCAGGTAGAAAATGTCAGAAAGTGGGCTCATGAGAAAAAAATTCCGATCAGGAGACCAAACAAAACAAGTAAACACGGTGTTGTACTTGACGACTACTTTGGCCTGGATTTCATGTCTAAGAAACTCATGGAGGATTTTATCTTTCCTATTTGCAAAGGCAAGGAAGTATTTTAGTTAAACGCATTAGAAAGACTTTTATTGGTTTAGCCTATTTAATAACACTAAACTTCACTCTGTTGTCTTGCAGTATTCTTCCCTGAAGTGTGTGGAGCAATGTTTGACTCTCATTATGGATTTTTTATTGAAAATGGTGAAGATAAGGATGCTGAATTAGGTGAGTCCCTTTGATTCTCAGCTATTACCTTACAGCAACGATCCTGAAAAATTCTCACAGGACCTTACAATCTTTCCTGGAGTGCAAGAACATTCTGTGATACTTAAAGTTGCTTAGAGAAAACCAAATTAAATTAAATCTTTTTATCAAAGTTCTGGTGATTGAATGGTCTCTTTTTGAAGTGTGTCTATGTTTGTTCAGTGAATTATCTGAGATACATTGTCAGTGTGTCTATGTTACTCTTAGTTGGAAAAAATATGAATGTCTCCACTTTTAGGAAGAGTTACATGATGGATGATGTATTAAAGTGCTTATATGACTAATGTCTGGAAAATCGTCCGGGACTTATATGACTATTTGTTTGGCCAGTGGATGCTTCTTTTTATTATTCTGTGTTCAACTCAGTGACAAGTGCATTAATTATCCTATAAATCTGCAGGCTGTCGTGTGGATGATTCAGAAATAACATTGGATGTTTGTTTGAGGAAACAATTTGAGGGAGGGGAAATATCTTTCGTAGGCACACGATGCCAGAAACATTACGAAACAAATATAAAGCCAGAGGTATTTGAGTCCTTTTGAGGAGGTTTTTTTGTCCTATTACATGCCAATATTTCGTATATGGCAAAATGGTTAAGTAATGAAGGAATTAACTATTTCTCACTGAAGCAGGAAATTTTTAGGTACTATCATACACAGGGTCAAGCTATACTTCACCGTGGCCGCCACCGCCATGGTGCCAGAGCCACCACAGCATCTTGTTATCGGGCCAATATGATTCTTTGGTGCAGAAAGTAAGCAATTTTGAAGCTTGCCTCAGGATTTCAGATGACAATTGAATCACATTTTACTCTTCTTTTTCATTGCAGCTCTTTGTTTAGAGAGATGGAAACTTATAAGAAGGAATTCCCAGAGTGGTGCGATGAATGCGCCCATGAAAAGAAAGAAAAGGAAAGCCAGAGTCTTGCTGCCAAAAGAAAGGTTATAAAAAAGAAAAGACATGATTTTGCACAAGTTTATAAGATGTTTGGTTTGAGCATGGTTATGAACCCGTGGGGGTCCTTATTGCAGGGGATGATTAGAATTGTGGGTGGAGGCAAAGCACAATGAAACATAACACATCATAGCTTACTATTGGTCAAGCCCTGAAGTATTTGCTTTGACCTTTTTTGAATCTTTACTTGAGAAACTGAGTATATGTAGAATCATCTGATGTAAATACGTCTTTGTATATTGAATCTTCTTGTCTCTCACACTACTAAGTACATGACATTTACTTGTACAAGGAACCATATAATGTAGATCTGATTCCTATAGTTTTTTTTCTTGACTTTTTTGGATTGAAGATAGTTTACTTGTTATAACTAGGAAATATTGGTATGGGTATTTTTTTTGGATATCTTGTGTTATATGTAGATCGCAGGATAGTACGGCATTAAAATAGCGAAGCGTATTAATATAGAGGGAGCGACATGATTTACATAGAAACGTCCCAAATGCAGTAAATGTGGGTTTTGCTGTTAAATTTTTAAAAACATATAGAAACCTTTTTACATCCCAAAAACAATACTTTAAAATTTTAAAAACATTTAGGCTTTTATTGGTTACCAAATGCAAGATACTATAAATTATAATTATTTGAGGTGTCAGTGTCACCAATCACATGAATAATACAAAAGCCATAGTTCAAACATGGAGATTACAATAAAGGAATGATAAAGTTGGTTTCTATTACATAGTGATGTATAAATAAATGTAAAGCAAAGAAAACAGAGTTGTACAATGTAAAGATTGGTATTATTGGTACACAGTTTTGCAAAATAGAAAATACATTTCTTTTATTATTATTCTTGAATATTGTTCATGTGGGATTTGCTTATTTATCATTAAAAGCAGGGTATGGGCTAGTTATTTCTTGGATTTTTGTTTTAAATTTCTACTTTTATGTATTGTATAAGTTAATATACAATCTTTTGACAAATATTTTGAATTATTAATGTTTTTTTTTTCCAAAAAATATGAACTATTTTGATTTCCTAATAATCTGAATTATCCTTGTTTCTAAATTTTTTGATTATCTTTTAATGTACCTTTTAATATCTACATATACTGGTGACATTAAAATTCAAAATGAAATAAATATATTGTTATTTTTAAAAATAACTAAATTGAATAATTTTAGTTAAATTAATTTTTAATAGTAAATTATATTTCTATTCAATTAAATATATTTTTTTCTTATTGAATTTATTATGATTATATATAATAATATGTACTACTACAATGTTACTAATCAGAAGTCAGAACTAAAGTTTATATTCGCATATGGTACCATATCAGCCTATCAGGTATCACCTATATCCGTATCACCTATATCCGTATTGCTATTTTTAGTACCACACTATTTATATTGTTATCTTTCGTATTATCTCAAAATTATGTAATGCATCATCATTTTATACGTTCTACCAAAAAAAAATCATCATTTTATACGTTACCAATATGAGTCATAATAATGTGGGCAACCAATAATTTCTCTCTCCTAAAATTTTTGGATTTCTAAAATCTTATTTAGTTGGTAGTTGTTGATCCATATCTCCATCATGTGTTCCACCCATAAAACTTGATAAATATAAGGATACTTTTGTCTTTTGTTAGTCTACATCTTAAATTTTAAAAGATATGGCCTAGATTAATAATTTTGGTTTGTTTTTAGATTTTTTCATAATTTTCCCTTTCTAAATTCATTATTTATGAAACTTATATGTAAACGCTTTTTATTTTTATTAGGTTACCAATCAAAGAGTGAATTTAAAAAAAAAAAGACTAAAAATATTAATTTTCTTTATAATACAATATTATTTTTGTTTATTTGTTTAGTGGTAAAAATGTCCACGTATCTCTCCATTAACATTAAAAATTACTATTTCTCAAATTATATATAAAATTCTTTTTTTAAAAAACAAATAATGATTTAGATCCACGTCAAAATCAATTCACACAATTTCCAAAGCATTGACTTGTATAGCTATTATTACGAATAAAATCGAATCGTTTTTCTCGCTTGATACGTATATTTCACTTAATCTGTCACAATATCTTGTTTTAATTTTCTCTATATAATCCTTATTGACGCAAATCAAGAGATCACAACAAAATATGAGTCTAAGCTCCCAGCTCAAGTATCTAGAGGAGTTGACGACAAATGCGAAGCAAGTACAAGACAATTTGTTGGAGTAAATACTCAGAGTTAATGGGAACACCGAGTATCTCCGTCACTTTCTCCATGGAAGTTCTAACAAAGAATCTTTCAAGAAGAACGTACCGGTGGTGACCTACGATGATGTTAATCCTTATATAGAGCGTGTCGCGAAAGGAGAGCCTTCAAATGTCATTACGGGAGAAACCATTACTAATTTCCTTTTAAGGTATAAACGTTTCTAGAAATCAAATTTTTTTTTAATTCATGAGTTTTTAGATTTGAACATGTTTGTGTGTAGTTCTGGAACTTCTGGAGGGAAACAAAAGATCTTTCCTGTGAACAACAAGTACTTTAAGAACATGTCATTCATCAATGGTCTATGCTCCTCCATTCTATCCAAGTAAATCTTCAATTATATATATACAAATATTTTTTCTCTTTTAAGCGTATTTGTAACTTCCATCACCAAGAATCCATCTTTTTGTTTCCGGTATATAGGTACATCGATGGTGTCAGGAAAGGAAAGGTGATGACCTTTCTCAATACTAGACCGTTGTCTACAACTCCCTCTGGTTTGCCTATTGCTCCCCTGTCTACGAGCTTCCTAATGAGTGATTATTTCAAGAACCTGCCTTCAAAATGTTATGTTAGTCCCGACGAAGTCATATTATGTGTGGACAACAAACAGAATATGTATTGTCATCTTCTTTGTGGTCTTGTCCAACGAGAGGAGGTTGTGAGTATTTCTGCTGCCTTTGCTTCTTATTTAGTCCAAGCAATCCAATTTCTTGAAACTCATTGGAATGAATTGTGTGGTAATATTCGATCCGGTTGTATAAGCGAGTGGATCACTGACCGTGGTTGCCGAGACTCTGTATCCGTTATACTTGGAGGACCTAATCCTAAATTGGCATATATGATTGAACATGAATGCAGCCAGAAATCATGGGAAGGTATGATCACAAGACTATGGTCTAACTCTAAATTCATTCAAACCATAGTTACAGGACAGATGAGTCAATACATCCCAATATTGGAGTTTTATTCCAACAAATTACCTCTCGTCTCCCCGCGTTACGCGTCTTCTGAAACAATCTTCGGCGTAAATTTGAATCCTCTTTGCAAACCACAAGATGTGTCCTACACATTTTTGCCAAACATGTCCTACTTTGAGTTCCTACTAGTTGATGAAGCCAACAATGATGAGATTGTTGAACTTGTGAACGTCAAGTTAGGTTGCTTCTATGAGCCATTGGTCACAAATAATTTCGGTGAGTTACACACACACATATATATGATATATATACTCTCACCTATATAATAAAAAATTTCTATTGTCCTTAGGCTTGTGCAGATATAGAATGGGAGATATTTTACAGGTGACGGGATTCTACAATAGTGCACCTCAATTCAGATTTGTACGCAGGAAAGGTATGGTTCTAAGTGTCAACGTGGAAGTAACAACTGAACAAGACATTTTAAAGGCGTTAAATCATGCGGGACTCGTTCTAGAATCTTCAGCATTAATGTTGATGGGCTTCACATGCTATGTAGACATTTCCACTATTCCAGGTCACTATGTTTTTTACTGGGAACTTAAAGCTAAAAGCTTTAATGGCATTGTTAAGCTTGATAAAAAGCTAATGGTGGAATGTTGTTGTGTAATCGAGGAATCATTCGACGTTCTTTATAGAAAACTTCGGACTAAATATGGTTCAATCGGAGCTCTAGAGATAAGGGTGGTGGCACAAGGAACATTTGATTCTCTCATGGAATATTTCATCTCCAAGGGTGCTTCTACATCTCAATACAAGACACCTATATGCATCAACGCTCCTCAAGGTTTAGCAATTCTTGAAGACAAAGTTCTTGCTCGGTTCTTCAGCGACAAATCTCCTCCTCTCTAATGATACATGGTCTAGTTGAAACAATTAGACCTTACATTGGAAAAATAATAAAGGGACAAAGGTATTCGATGAGATTGTTTTACTAGTAGAAAAATTTGTGGTTTTGTTGTACCATATGTTAGGAGTACCTTTCTATATATTTTCCATATCTTGTAGGGGTGGGGCAATATATTGGCAAAAATCGTTGGCTGTTTGAAGTATGATATTTTTCATGATATTGATACGTTAAAACTTAAAAAACAAATCGTCGGCTCTTCAAAGTATGGGCTCAAAATGGGGGCTTATCCATAATTCATAAACTAGAGTTGAATTAGAGATATAATTAATCAGATCGCGCGCGCGGCCTACAAGAAAACAGGCGATTACCGACTACGGTCGGCGACTAATTCTGTAGTCGCTAATTTGTATGAGTGTTGATTAATCGTAACATAGTCGCCAAATAGTCATCAAATGTTACGACTAATGAGTGACTAAAGTATGCATACCGAGGGTGTTCAACAAGGAAAGGAGATGTTGTATTTTTTCCTTTTTTTTTTAAAGCGACCAACAACCCCCCAAATTCTCAGGGGCTCTCCAAGCTCAATATTTTTTCTCAAATGCTCCTCTTGTAAAAAGAAATTTCTTTTTGATTTATTTTAAATCGAAATATGAGACAAAGACTTTCTAACCCTTTAAAACTTCATCTATTTACGACCCAACCAGTCTAATCGGATCATCAATTATCCGAACTCACACTTATTGGGTCAAATCCAATTAAAATCTTTTTTTTTTTTCTTTAGGGTTAGTTCAACCTTTGAAAGAAATCATTTGACATTTAACAGTTTTATTTTTTTTTTCTACTTCTGCGACGTCAAACTTGGTATAACTACAGACAACTACGTCTTTGTGTAAGTTAAAATCAAGTTTTCATTTTGGGTTTTGTATAAATCGATTGAAATTAGGGATACCATAATTAATCGTTAGTCGATTTGTTTGTGTAGAATCTGAAGTGATGGAATGGAAGTGCTAATAGAATCGTTTGAATGGACGTGTTAATGTGATCGATTAAATAGAAGTGATAATCTAATCGATTGATTTTGTTTGTACGTTTGTGCAAGAGAGTAGTGGCTCGAACAAAAAAACCCAACTGTATTGAATCCTATAGAACCAGAGAAAATCATTGAATAAGAATATGCCATAAGTGGATTATGAAGCAACAAATTCAATTTCTCGCAGGGATTCAACAGTATAATCTATACACTTTAGACAACTAATAGAACTTGGTATAACTATATTGTTTTTGTAACTTAGAAATTTGGCATAACTACGTCAGTTTGTTAAACTTAGTACAACTTGGTTAATATAGTTATTTGAAATTTTTGTATAACTAGGTACAACTTGGTACGTAGTTGTACTACCCAGATTTTGTTCTCTCTCATCCTCTTTCTCTTTCTATAATAGAGAATAAAAAAATTGAAAGTTTTCAAAATTTTAAAACCGTAAAAAACGTGGGTCAAACTGCTTTCTGTCAAACTACGCCGTCATAAATTGCAAGTGGGCACCGCAAAGCAAGTACATCTGCCAGGTGGCAATGCAAAAATGAACACAGTTATTCCTAGTTTTCAAGTTGTACTCGCATATACACAGTTGTACTTTTTGAGATTTTTTGAATAATTAGTTATACTTGAATGGAAACTAAAATTTTTTAGTTATACCCATTATTTTAGTTATTTGAGGTACATTTCCTATGTTTTCATGCAAAGATATCTGTCAAAACGTTATTTTTGTGTGTTTTGTAATGTAATGGGGATAACAATAACAAAGTCATCTTAAAAGTATAAGGTCTTTCTTATACAAAAATGAGTTTAATGGAAACTATCTTATAAATTTTGTTAAACTAATGTTATTTAAGAAAAAAAACTAATGTTATTTAAGAAGATTTGTTAAATTATTGGTTAAATTTCTAAAGTGCATATGAAGATTTTATAAATGGTCTAACTAATTTATTAAACAATTTGTACAAAAATGAGTTTAATGGAAACTATCCTATAAATTTTGTTTAACTAATGTTATTTAAGATGATTTGTTAAATATTGGTTAAATTTCTAAAGTGCATATGAAGATTTTATAAATTATCTAACTAATTTATTAAATTACATATAAAGATTTGTTAAATTGGTCGTAGTTGTACCATTAAAAACTAAGTTTTACCAAGTTATACAAAATATAGAGTATCAAAAATTAAATACAGACAAAAATACACAAATACGGACTGACATGGAATGTTATGATTGGTCGGAACAGTCAATTTTCATTGGTCAAGATAATAGCTTCTTATTGGTCAAATTATTTTTGTTATTTATTATTAAATTTGATTTTCTAAGGGTAAAATGGGGTTTTTGTATTTCATTAAGAGTAGGAGAGTATGTGAGATTTTTGGAGAGTAAATAGATTGACAAGTGAGGAGTAAGGAGCTCCTCAGATTTGGACCTCCGGTTTGCCAGTTTCTAACTCGGTTACGAGTTTTTTAATAACTGATTATTTCAAGAATTGACCATCAAATTGTTATACAAGCCCTGACGAAGTGACCTTGTGTCCACACAAAAACATGCTTTGTACTGCCATCTTCTTTGTGATCTTGTTTAGAGAGACGAAGTTGTAAGTGTGGCTGCTTCCTGCTTGCTACCTTTTCTTCTGTTGGAACAATCACCTAGCCATGTTAGCGAGTGGATCACCAACCTTAGTTGCTATCCTCCTTGGAGGACATATCGCGGGAAATCTTGGACACGAATAAATTATAAACACAAGTCTTTGGCCAAATTGTGCTATATGCCTATATCCACCATTTTTTTCAAATAAGGTGCTATATTCTTAATTATATCTATCTTTTGCGCAACCAACCACAAAAAAAAATTCTCCATTATGCTTATCTCAGTGACTCAGTTTCTTGTTCGCTATCAACCGGAAAATACCAATAATTTTAAGTATTCGGTTCGGAACATTTCTTGGGCCGCTAAAATGGGCCGAAATTCACAACAATATTACGCGTGGTTGAAACGCGGTTATAAATCGCGTGCGACGGGTAATTTTATCTTTACTCAATTAAAAAAAACAAAAACAAAAATCTCGGGGGAAATAAAACCCTAACTGCAACGGAAACTCAGAATCAGAATCCCCAAAATCATCGGATCAGATTCGTAAGCGATGATGGTCGACGGTGATGAAACTGTTGAAGGTGGAGACTCTCAATCATCGGATCTTCTTCAGATGAACACTGCGGCGGCGACGACAGAGATGGCTATCCCGAGGCTGAATCTGTTTCCTAACAAAAACCACATTTCCGATAGCTACGACGATCTGGAACTGGAATTTAGCTCTTCCATACTAAGATCGCTAGAGAAGTACTTGCCGATGGATATGCTCACGGCGAACAGAGAAGAGAAGGGCAAATTCATGTCAGACATTTTGGGCAAGTATATTTCCCGCGAAGAATGTTCCCAAGTAATGACTCTTTCAACTTCTGATTTCTTTCCTTTTGATCCTGATCTGTCTTTAATTTGTGAATCTGAAATCGATATTATGTTAATGTTACCCCTATATATATATATATGTATGTATGTGAGATCTCATATTAAACACATGCTGGTACAATATATTCTTCGGTTTGTGCTTCTTCACTTCATAAACGGAACCGTCCATATTACTTGATCCGCAAGATACACATCTTGCTCTCCAAGTTATCACCCAATAGGAATTGATCATTTCTTTCTGTCATCAAACTGATACGAATCAGAGAATGGTCTTTAGCTTTTTCTTGTGAACACATAGAATCTGGTTTAGTTCCACAGTTTTCAGAATAGTTTCATGTATATATAATGTTCCAGGCTAAACGGCGCAAGACATATAGGCAAGAGATAACATCTAATTATCAGGTGAGGAGCCTTTGCTCGTCTTTTATTTTGTTTTCTTAGACTTTCTTTATGCAATATTTCCTTTTCTTGCAGCCACGTTTCAAGGGGTTGTATAAACTTGATCCCAAATTGTTTTTGCTTCCCTCGTTTCGCAAGGCGATCAGCGAAAACACAGAGGAAAGCTTCAGACGTATCATTTCTGAACCGTTTCCTGGTGTTTTCGTCTTTAAAATGTTTCAGCCTGAGTTCTTTGAGAAATTGCTAGTTGAGGTAATAATCATTTTGCCACTTATTATCTGCTCCTACCTCTGTGTTTACATTTGTTCATTTTCTGCTGTTTGATTAAATCAGGTAGAGAATTTCAGAAAGTGGGCTCATGAGACAAATTTCACGATCAGGAGACCAGATAACACGAGTAAATACGGTGTTGTACTTGACGACTTTGGCCTGGATATCATGCTTAAGCAACTCATGGAGGAGTTTATCTTTCCTATTTGCAAAGGCAAGGATATATTTTGCTTAAAACTCATTAGAAAGACTTTTATTGGTTAAGCCTATTTAATAAAATACAGTAACACTAAAACTTCACTCTGTTGTTTTGCAGTATTCTTCCCTGAAGTGTGTGGAACAATGTTTGACTCTCACTATGGATTTTTAACTGAAAATGGTGAAGATAGGGATGCTGACGTAGGTGAGTCCCTTTGGCTTTCTGATACCTAGAGAAAACCAGAGTGAATTATAGCAAACATTAATATGGTTTAGTATAAGCAATGAGTCTTTTTAAATCTGCAGACTTTCATGTGGAAGATTCAGAAGTAACATTGAATGTTTGTTTGAGTAAACAAGGTGAGGGAGGGGAAATATTTTTCGAAGGCACACGATGCAAGAAACATATGGATACAGATCCAAAGCCAGAGGTATGTAAGTCCTTTGGAGTAACTTTCTTTGTCCTGTTACATTCCTATATTCAATAAATGGTAAAATGGTTAACTAATAAAGGAACCAACTATCTCTCACTGACGCAGGAATATTTTGATTACTGTCATATACCGGGTCAAGCTATAATTCACCGTGGCTGCCACCGCCATGGTGCCAGAGCCACGACATTCGGTCGTCGGGCCAATATGATTCTTTGGTGCCAAAAGTAAGAAATTTTGAAGCTTGCCTCAAGATTTCAGATTACGGTTGAATCATATTTTCTTCTGCTTTTCCATTGCAGCTCTTTGTTTAGAGAGATGCAAACTTATGAGCCAGAATTCTCAGACTGGTGCGGTCAATGCGTCCATGAAATGAAAGAAAAGGAAAGCCAAATTCTTGCTGCTAAAAGAAGGGTAAAAAAACAACATAATATTACACAAGTTTATAAGTTGTTTTGTTTGAGCATGGTTATGAACCTATGCGTGTCCTTATTGCAGGAGTTGATTAGGATAGAGAGTTGAGAGTGAAGCCGAAGCTCCACGAAAAAACTGAAGTTTATGCTTTGACATTTGACTCTTTACTTGGAAAAAATAAAAACCGAGTATATGTAGAATCATTTGATAATTGTATGGCATTAGCTGACGATGCCTAAAAAGAGGATAACCCATTCTATTTTCTTTTCGTAACTAGCCGTAAGTGAAGTTGTTTGAACACGATTACTCTAAAGAACACATTGTCGCTTCTACTTGAATTTGAGCCATGACCAGACTCATTATGAGCACGCTTAAAATCACAATTTTTCCTTCCATCTTTTGGTTGATTAGTTGTTCGAACAACAAGACTTACTTAAATACTAGTTGTTCTACAATTTACCACCACAAAGCTTCGTTATTAATACCTGCGGGCTACTATACTAGAGATTACTTTACCTACCACCTCCGAGCAAATCTGTTTGAAATTAAAGGCATGTAGAATGATTATTAATTTTTGTACAAAAAACATGTTGAAAAATTGTTTCACTCGAAGGCTAAAAGAGTTCAGTTGAATTTCGATAGTTCTTTTTTTTATTATTCACTATGGACTTTTTATTTTTTCTATGACCGAGAGAATTCGAAATAAAAAATAGCCATTTCTGCTACGTAAAGCATTGACAGTAGTTGAAAGCTAATTGTGGATATTTATATAGATGTTCATAATGTTGTTGACGAGAAAGAAAAAAAAAGAATACTAAAATACACAGTAGGCATCAAACTTAATTCTACAATGCCAACTTGCCAAGTATCTTCCCAAAATCATATTGTCGAGTAGTAGTCATTTTCGTTTTCTCTGGAGCTTTAATAACCATTATCATTGTTGTTATGTCTTTCCTATTCTCTTTGATTTTCCCTTTATTTTGTGGACGTAAAGTGATAATTTTTGCCACCAACCATGAATCCTTTCTTCTTCAGAATTGTCTCATTTAGTTCCCCTAGTGGATCAGTCTCGATCAACCGAGTTTTAATCCTTTACAAGTACACCCAATCGATCTAGTCTACTTTAAAAACCAGACGGGTTTAAAATTAAAGGAAACTCACATAATCCCGCTATTTAATCAAAACTATCAAATTTGCTTTGTTAAGCTATGAATCACTTCAACAAATTGTATATAAGAGGTCTAAGATTTGTACCACAGTCTACACAACCTTTACCCTTTTTTACAGCTATTTTCCCAGTTGTTTATAAAGACATAGAAAATAATATATTTCATGCTTCCCGGTTGAGCTATTTTCCCTGTATTGTTCTACATATAGAACCCTTCACTTGAGATGAATCAAGAAATCACACTAAATATGAGTAAAACAACAGCAATATTATTTGTATCTGACGAAGTGAGATGTGCCAATCAAAATTTCTAAACATGTAGTCAAAGTACATACATATCAATCAAGTTTATAATAGATTCAGCTATCAATAAATTCTAGCTCCACAATATTCATTACCTACAAAACTATACGCCTAGAATCTATTTCCCTCTTTAATTTAAGAAATGAGTAACTTGGAGATTTACTCTTAATTAGCATGATAACTGCATAATTAATTTAGTTGTACAGTTATAATAAAAACTCAGTTATTTTCCCGTAATAATAATATAAATGGAAAGCAAATTACAATAGTTTTTCGAAAAGAGCAAATTAAAACGGTTGAGAGAAGAAGATTAACAAAGAGACACAATATTCTTTATTTAGGGGCCGATTGGTAACGACTTTTACTTCTGGCTGTTGAAGCTTTGACTGTAGAGACTTTCGCTGTAAAAACTTTGACTGTATAGACTTTGTCTGTAAAGACTTTTGCTGTTAAAATCTGATTGGTAACAAAAAAAAAACTGTAAAAACTGTGACAGTTACTTTTATTATTATTATATATGTTTTTAAATATTATTTATGTTAGAAATAAATTTATGTGATAATATAGTGACAAAAATAAATTTTAGAAAAAAAAGTTCATAAATAAAATAAATATTTAAATATTCTCAGTTTAAATATTTACCATTTTAAATATTTAAATTGGATCTCAAAAGAAAAGAAAAAATAAAATTAGTATTAATCAACTGAAATTATTTAATAATAAACTATGAATCATTTTAAAAAGAGTTTTCAAATTATATAGGGAAAAAAGAAAAGTAAAAATAATTGGAGTAAAAGCTTTAAACCACTTAAAGTCACGTATTAGTGACTTTAGAAAAAGGTGAAGTTACAAGAGTAAAAAAAAAAGTCGACTTTCAAGGCTGTAGAAGGAAAAAAAAAAGTAACAGTCTGATTGGATAATAAAATGCTGTAAGGACTGTTAAATGCTTTTAAAGTCCTGACAGTCGGATGCCAATCACCCCCTTAGATGATAGGAAACATAAGACATACTCCCTCTGTTTTTTAAAAGTTGTCGTTTTAACTGTATTTGGACAAATTAAGAAAATGTATACAATGACTATATTAACCTTATAAAAATGACAAGTAATTATTTACAAATAATTTGTGTTTAATTAAATGAGGGTAATTTGGGTAGTTATTGGCATAAGTTACATTATTACCTTAAAACGACAACTAATTTAAAACAAAAAAATGCTCTAAAACGACAACTATTCGAAAACGGAGGGAGTATATAATTTAGGAATAGACAAACCGGAATTACAAGTTACTTATAATAGTAGCACGAGAGTCTAGCATTTTTGGCATATACACAACAATTATTGAAACCATGGGAAACACAAGACTTAGATCGTGGATATATGCTTGTTTAATTAGGCAGTTTGACTTGCGATTTTAGAGCCCTTGGTGCAAACAGTAGAACATGCCATGACACATCGTTCCATCGCTCCATTCCTTATTTCACTTACGACTAGTTTATCAAAAGAAAATTATAATGGGTTAATATCTTCTTGGTCAAACAACAATAATAATAAGAATGAATTTGAGAGTCTTCTTTACCGGAATTCTTGAGAGTGGTTAAGGCACCGCACACCGAGGATGCACAACCCAATTTGCAGTATTCATTGACAACATCACCTTGCATCAAAAAAAATTCTTGATCCATCTCGTAACAAATAACCAAATTATTGTTAAAGTTTGACTTAAAATAAAAGTGTAACATTTTGGGTGCTCTACTCAAATGAGCAGAAGAACCCCAGGGGCCGGAGACACCAACCGTGATTTGGATCCATAAGTTACTTTACTCTAGCCACGATCTAAAAAGCTTAAACCAAATATCAAATTTCAAATGAATGCATAAATAAAATTAACTAAAAATTACATTTTATAAAACATAAAGGTACAGTTGCATCCCTTCTCAAAACACTGCATCCGCACATGTATGGGTCACGCCCAAGACTCGGGTTTTTTTTACTACGTTTTATGATATTCGTCCAGGTTTTATCCAACTTTACAATAAAAATTAAACATAATAGAATTAAGAAAAAAATATATATATTATACCTGTGTTTTCAAGATTGTCATTAGTATATCCTTCTGGACATGTCCCTTCAACAATTATGCAATCACTAATGTATGCACAAGTTGGCGGGGGGATTCCCTGTTCACTGCAGAGCTTATATGTATATCTAGTAATCGGGGACGGGCAGCATATCGCCGCTTCTACTTGAATTTGAGCCATGACCAGACTCAATATGAGCACACTTAAAATCACATTTTTGCCTTCCATCTTTTGGTTGATTAGTTGTTCGATCACAAAATGTAAGTATAGGAAACACTTATAGCTTATAAGCTTTGTAATGATATTTAACAAAAAAAAAAAAAAAAAAAGCTTTGTAATGATATGAAATGATGATAAAACTAGACTTACTTAAATACTAGTGGTTCTACAATTTTCCACCACAAAACTTCCTTATTTATTACTCGCGGGCTACTAAAAATCACTTTACCTACCACCTCCAAACAAATTTGTTTAAGATTAAAGACATGCATGCAGAATGATTATTTATTTTTTACAAAAAAAGAACATGTTGAAAAATTGTTTCACTAGTAGGCTAAAAGAGTTTAGTCGAAGTTTGATAGTTACGTTATTTTTTTATTCACTATGGATTTTTTTTTATGACGGAGAGAATTCGGAAAAAAAAAAACCATTTCTGCTACGAAAAGCATTTACAATAGGTAAAAGCTAATTGTGGATATTCATATAGATGTTCATAATGTTGTTGATAAAAAAAAAAACTACTAAAATACATAGTAGGCGTCAAACTTAATTCTACAATGCCGAGTATCTTCCCATATTTATATTGTCGAGTAGTAGTCATTTTCGTTTTCTCTGGAGCTTTAATAACCCTTATCAATGTTGTCTGATTTGCATTCTCTCGGATTCTATTTGATTTTCACTTTATATTGTGAACGTACAGTGGTAATTTTTGCCACCAACCACGAATCCTTTCTTCTCCAGAATTGTCTTAAGCTCATGTTGATATGAGTCAAATTACCTCAAGTTTACTCTCTCAAATAAGAGATCGTGTGCAGTATTTAAGAGTCGAATTCCACAAAATTCTTTTGTTTATTCAAAAAGCTAACAGTTTCGAAATTAAGCTAAATAAAATATGAAAAAACTAAAATAAAACAAAACAATTAAATCGATGTAAATTTAGATAGATTAAAGCGTCATGTTTAGGAAATTTCTCAGGAAATATTAGAATAGTATATCTAGCAATTAATTAGGAATTATTAGAGAACCGTTCTAAAACTCAAATCGCAAAACTATGATCAACCAACTCTCGTCTGTATTGACTATCTATGCCTAATAGTAGGAGTTCCAACTCTCGTCTGTAAATCCCTAAAACTAAACAAGAATTAACGATATGTTTGATATGTTCACAAAAGTACCTAGACCAACTCTCGTTTGAATCTATCTACTTCTGCTCATCTAAGATATTTCCAATAATAAGCGCACTCTCGTGTCTAATCTATTATCCTAAGATCAAGTTCTAGTTAGCTACTCTAAAACTAGCATTAAGAACAATCAAAGATGAAGAACTCTATGGATATTATCCTAACAGGTTATCGATCTACTAAGGTTATCGATCTACTAATTCATCCAAATCCCTATTGAGAATCCCTAAACCCAACAAGATAACT